GCCTGCGCTGGGCCGAGCGCTGCCTCCGCGGCCCGGGGGATCGCGGCGCAGCGCCCTGGGCGGGCAGCGCGTCTGGGCCGCTGCCACATCGCCCCCCGGTCCAGCCGGGTCTGTGCCGTCTGCGGTACCGCCTGCCGCGCTCCCCGGCGGGCTGTACGCACTTCGGAAAGTCGGAGCGTGTCCCGCGTACATCGGGAGCGGAAGAGAGAAGGAACATAGAGGGAAAGCGAGGCGGCACTGGTGGCTTTTTGTAGGTTTCCCTGGGCACAGTGTCTGCCTGGCAGGGGCGATCCCATCACGTCAAGTCCTTGGACAGTACTCGGTAGCGAATGAAACTTGCCACCGATGCCCATGAAGTGTAGCTCCGCCATGCTGTTCACAAATTGTAGACTCGGATGACGTGTTTTTGTGTAATAAAGTGTACGGTGTCAGACACTAAACACCGCTGGATGTTTATCTTGATGCGTTGCAGGACAAGTTCTGGATAACCAGAGTCGGGCTCCTTGGAGTTTGTCAACTATAACAGATTTCTTCTGGTCGATAGCAGATTTTGTGGTTCTGTTGTAAGTAGAAATTAATTCTTTTGATGATCTTTTAGATTTGCTGTAGGTAGACCCTACTCAGTGCTATCAGTAACGCTACAATAAAAATGCTAGATTTACTCTTTAGCGTTCCATATCTGCTGTCCCCAAAACATATATGAATGCTTTACTGTGACTATGTGGCTTTGGTTATTAAGCACTACAGTATATTTAATAAAAAGAAAAGTGTACGAAAAGCGATGCTAACTGTCAATAGGCAGTTCAAATGAGTTTTCTTACGTTTCTTCCATTTTAATACTGCAAAAAGAAAAAGCACGTACTTTTGTTAAACACCTAGTTTCTAATAGTTGATCGAATAATTAAGGTATTGCTTGGATAATTTCTACTGGCGACAATAGAGTAAAATGTAAAAATAATCACACAGCAGTAATCACAAATTTATGGTCCCAGATTGAAGCCAGTTAAGAATGTCTTTTGATGTGTTCAACAGTCCTTCATTATTTCAGTTACAGGTTTATAATTTATTCATTTCTTGCACTTTATTTACCAGAAAAAATAGATTTTATGGTTTGAGCCTTACTGTAATTTGGAATTACTTCCGGTTTTATCTTCATAAGTAGGAGAAAAACTGCAAAGATTTATTAAATGGTAACCTTGAGAAGATACCCTGTTCATTCCTGAACACTACTTATCAGCCTATTTATTATCTTGCAACCCAAAAAATCAGAAAATATATCTAGCAATCAGTTCACCTAACTCCTGTTTTATTTTTCAGTTTCCAGAGCATTATTCAACCAGATTTGAGAAGAAGAGGCTACACATCTTCCTCCTATTCAGGATACAATGATGGAAGAGGGTATTTTTTCATATTCACACTAGTTCTAATTTTTTTCCTATCTTAGCAAAATGACATAATGTATGCAGATCACAGTTGTGATTTGCACTGAATCAGGTCATGTAAGACAACTAAAATATTGTTTACCTGTGGTATTTTGTCTGAAACTCATTGATAACAATACAGAGCTTTGGATGGCTGTGGTAACAGTATAGTCTCACTGAAACAATTTTTCAGACCTGCCTAATGGGCAATGTTTGTTGAAATTGTTTTGTTAGACTTGGTTATACTCAGCATTTGATTTACCATAATTCAGTCATTTCATGTATTAGATTATATACAGATAAAGCAAAATACTTTGTTATAGGGATATCGTTTCTATAAACACTATAGTTAATGTGTTTCTTTGTTCTTAATGGTTTGCCTAACTTTTTGTTAGGATTGTGTAAAAGCTTTTGGTAGCTTTCTCTTGTGAGACAGGAGTAATTACAACAGTTTGCATGAAAGAATTTTTGTGAAAGTGGGATTGGGTTTGTTTTTTTTTTTTTACAGTTTTTCACATGAAACCCAAACACCACCAGAGGCATTCCAGAGGTTCTGACTTCCTAATTACTATCATTTAGACACAGTGTTACTCTGTTTGTAGTTCAACAATTTAAGGCCGATTGAATAGATCTTCTTCTTGCTTTCTTGTCAGGCCTCCAGCACAACCTCGCCGCAGGATGGGTCGAATAAATAACTGGGGTGGAGGCCCCAGTCCACCACCAATGGCTGGAGGTGGATGAGGAAGGTAATTCCAAATCTGCTGTAGCCCGCTTTGAACTTTTTTTTTTTTTTTTTTTTTTTAAATAACGTTAATTGAAAGTTAAGGTAGACTGGAGCCTTTTGTCCTCCTTTTGCAAAAGTTACAAAAACAGGAAGAGAATCAAAGTGGTTAAATACTTCCAGCAAAGGGGGAAAAAATGAAGGGGGGTGTTAAAAGGTTTTGGCTCAGAATTGGTGAGCTTCTACTTTTAATTGCATAGAAGTGGATGTACAAAGTGTAGCAAAGATAATTTACAACTTCTGATCTTTTTTGGCTGCTTAAAATCCTGTCCAGATCAATAGTGACAAACTTTGTTTGCGTTTCCAATGGTTATCGTATGACATGCGAGGTTTTTTTCTTTAAAGCAGATACTTATCAATAGAAAAGAAGGAAAATTAATAAAGTTGTTAAAAGACTATTAGTAAAAATCTTTCTTCCTCTTACAGTGATAGAGCTGTGCAAATCTTGAATTCTAGTACAGCATAAAAATCAGAATTGCTTTAAAAGGGGGGCAAAAAACAGTAAAAAAAGCCATGCCCATTAAATTTCTTACAGCTGCCTGAACTTTAATTCTGTTTTATTAATTAGTTGAGCTGGTGAGAATTTCATCTAACACTGAGTGTATATATAGTATGGTTTTAGGACTTAAGTAAACAATCCTCCTTTTTCACTAATCACTCCCCATTGATACCATAACAAAAGTTACAAGAAAAAACACACACACAGGCGGTTTAAATCTTGTAGGAAAAAGTTCATATTCCAAAAAGCACATACACCAGTATTTCAGTTCCCTAGAAAAAGGATAAGCTTCTTCCCATGTATTTTTTTTTTCCATTCGGGTGGTTTATTTTTTCTTTTTGACTGGACATGAGACCAGCAAAGTCTATGGGGAAGGCTTTTGGGTAATAATGTCAATGTGCAATCTGCTCAGGAATAGAAGCTTGCAAGCCTTTAGCATGTCTCATTTAGCTAAATTAAAAACAATTTTATTTTAATTTTTTTTTACTTACATATTTTTAATCTTGCAAAGAAAGGTCTTATTGTCTTTAAATGTACTGTAATTTTATCTTTTAGGTAAACGCCTGCTGAAGAAGCAGGCAAAGGCATACACATTTGCAAGATGAAAGGGAAGAAGAGTTTAGTGCTGGACCAAATGAGTTGGAATGTTGTGAATGTGTATGTCTAACTGGAAACTGTTCTGTGATACAAGCAGATTAATGAAGTTGTACTGGGAACTCCTTCTTCAAGGATCTGGTGTAACTGAACTACAGTTTTATTAAATACATGTTTACTGTCTAAAGTCTTTGTATAGTTTCTGAGCATTTTACTGTAGTTGCAAAGTAATAAGTAAATTATATTTGGCTTGTCACAAGGCTGACTTTCTCATGATTTCTAGAAAAAAAAAAACCTGTCTGAAGCACAGTAAGCCCTTTTCTGTTCATATGAGAAAGAATACATATTTGTAATTGATACAGAAGGTCCCTCAAGAGTCAAACATAAAGCAGTGCTTCCTAATAGGTTTTGTATTTACTCTATTTTTGTCAGTACTAACATCCTGTATTTTGCTGTGTTTTCATTATATTAATGATACTCTAAAAACACTTTTAAAATGCAACTTACGAATTATTTTGTTTCACAGTCCTTGCCTTTTATAAAGTCACTTCCTTAAGGCCTATAATGGGTTTTATAATATGCATGTTTTATAAACACCTCTTGAAACAGCTTCCTTCTCCATTATAAACTTATTCAAATGTATAAGCCTATTCGCTGCACAAATTTTGGTAAGGTTTGTTGGGTTTTTTTTCCATAAAATTAGTCTTTGTTTTTACTACACGAAGAACAAGGTAGTGAACTCATACTGAGTGCTAACAAAGAAGAGATTTTCTTTCAAATAGTATCTACCTTTTAATTAATTTACCCCATTTAAGAATGGGAGTTTCTATTAGTTTGGGGTTTGGCTTGAGGTTGTGGTTTTTGGGGTTTTTTTTGTTTTGGTTTGGTTTTTTTGGTTGGGGTTTGTTTTTTTTTTTTTTGAGTCTCATGACCTTTCACTCATGTTTATTTAAAATTACAGAATGTCAGACAACTAAACAGCAAATTTCTCAAATTTTCCTCTCCTCGGGTAAACACTTTCCATTTAAAAGAATAAAATGAAGGAATGTTCTTGAATGCCCCTTGGTTAACATAAGCAGCTGCTAATTGCCAGCTAATTATGATGAAATCACCCCTCCGGTGACTCCCCCTCCTGCTACACGTACCCAACACAAAGTTACCTTTTAAAGTTACCAAAGTTATCTTTTAAACTTGCTGCGAAGAGGAGCCTTCAGCCTAATAAGCACATCTTCCTCAACTCCACTCCGAAGACAGTCACATCTTAACCTCAGGTCGGCCATCGTCAGTTCCCCACAGGCGTACCGCACGTACATCTGTCTTCACAGTATGATTTCAGTTGCGCGGAGGGCTGCCTTACCCTTCTTCCAGTATCACTCAACTGCTTTGTCCACACTACACAAGGCACTCGAGG